AAGAACCAATAGATCTGTTTTGGAAGAAGTGCAGCCAGAGTGCTCCTTGGAGGCCAAGATGGCCAAACTTTGTCTCTCATACTTCAGACATCTTGTTAGGAGGGACCAGTCACTGGAAAAGGATATCATATTTGGTAAGGTGGAGGGTCAGAGAAAAAGAGGAAGACCCCCAACGAGATGGATTGGCCAAGGAGTACATACAGAATGCTCCTTAAAAGCCATGGTGGCAAGACTTCTCATATACTTCGGACATATTATCAGGAAGGACCGGTCCCTGGAGAAGGGCATCATACTTGGTAAAAATAAGGACGTCGGTGAAAAACAGTGAGACCCTCCCATGAGATGGATTGACACAGTGGCATCATCGGTGGGCTCAAATGTAACAGTTTGTGAGGATGGTAGAGGACTGCGCAGTGTTTCATTCTTTTGTGCATAGCATCACTGTGAGTTGGCATCGACTCGAGTGGCACCTAATAACAGGGTAATTGTGCAGGGTCGCTATGAGTTGGAACCAACTCCACAGCAACAACAGTTCTGTGTTTAGCATTTTGAGGCACTGGTAAGCTGCTCAGGTCCTGTTTTGAAGTAGGAAAATGCTAATTCCAGATAGCATGTTCAGCACCTTCTCATTGATGCTCTTTTTTTTTTTCTTTCTTTCTTTTTGTGATTGATAGTTTACATGGGAGAACATCAGTTTTACACTCATTTCATTGCAATAATTACAAGCTCCTCTGTTTTGCTTCACTGGTTAGGGTTCCACATTCCGCTCATGCTCTTCTCCCTTGATGGTCCTAGGGTCCTCTGTTCCTGGAATGTAAGATGAACTATTCCCACCTTTTCTTTTTGTTACAGAATTTCTACCTTTACAGTTGTGATCTCACATTCTTTTTTTGGGGGGTGGGGGGAGTGATGCTCTTTTAACACACAACTTAGTCTGTCTTCCACATGGACATTAGTGTAAGGGAGAGGGCTTGGGAACATCAGAGGCTGAAGGACACTCTCCGCTCTGGGGCCTCTGTGGTTTGCATCAGTTTACAGTAAGCTGAATCACTTTATTGAATGATTACAAATGTAGGAACTAGTACTGGCGGCCTCTCATGCTCCCCATCTGCCCTCTGTCCTCTGAGCACTTTGGCCTGAGCAGTAGGACACTTGTCATGTTTTGCTGAGCTGTGTCTGAATCCCAAGATGGGCACAGTGGGCACCTCCTGGGAGGAACCCTGAGGTGTCAAAGAGTAAGCCACCATCCCAAAATAATTTTCTGGAAGTATTTGTGTGAATAAACTTGGACCCTTGGCAACACAGCATGGTAGAGGGGAGGAGGCTCTCGCAGAAACGGGGAGGGTGGGGGCAGTACGTCAGGGTGTGGAGCACGCTATCCCCTGTGGGAGGCAGCGGCCAGGCCAGCAGAGGTGGAAGGCTCTGTCCTGGCAGCTGGGGGTAAACTGTGGTGCTGCATCTCACTGCCCCTCTGCCCTCCAGGACCAAGGCTCCGCCCACCAGGCCTGGGATGGGTAATGGTGTGAAAGAGGCCGCAGCATGCCTGCAGGAGGATGCTGAGCCTGCCCTGCGCTCACCCATCTCCAAAAAGGCAAGTATAGGCTCTCTCCAGTCTCTCTGGTCCTCAGCTCTGCCCCGTACGCTGGGATGACTTGTGAGGGCCCCAGACTGCTGTGTGGTGGGGGGGAGGTGGTGTTTGTCCTGAGCCCCAACCTCTACCCCTGATTCTCACACATTAATTGTAGAGATGTTCGCCTGAAAAGGGCTTACCCACTCTGTGCCATTTATCCTAGAAACAGAATCCCAAGTTCCACCTGAGCCACAGACTGACTCAATCCCACAAGAACCATCCTCATGCTTGCTAGGGCAGGACACAAAGTTCACTGGACCACAGGCCATGCTGGTGTCATCCTCTGACCATCCCCAAATTTCAGTCACTCTGCAGAGCACAGGAGGTTCCACTCTGAAGTCACTGCTCCTGGCAGTGTGTGGGGGGGAGAGTGTGGGGTGGCCAAGCTGTCAAGTTAGCAGACATCATTCTGCATCTAAACACCATCAACACACATGGAAGCAGCAGTCAAGAAATCAAGCAATGTATTTACATTGGGCCATCCACTGTAAAAGACCTTTGTAAAGTGTCCCACCTTTGAAGAATAATGTGCACCTGATCCAAGCCATGGTTTTTCAGTTGCCTCATATGCATGCGAAAGCTTGGCAGTGAAAAAGGAAGCCAGAAGAATTTATTGGTGCTGTTGTCAAAATATAGAATATGCCGTACCATATTACCAGGAGAACGAACCAATCAGTCTTTGAAGAACCCAGAGCAGAGTGTTCTGCAGAAGCAAGATGATGAGACTTTAGTTTGCTTTCCTTGGACGCCTCCTCAGGAAAGACCAGTGCTATCATGTCTGGCGGCTATGTTTGGTAAAAAAAAAAAAGAGGTCAGTGAAAGCAAGGGGAGCCCTCCATGAGGTGAGCTGACACAGCAGCTGCTGCAGTGGACGCAAATCTACCAGCGATCATGTAAATGATGTTGGACCAGACAGTGTTTCATTCTGTTCTACCTGGGATTGCCGTGATTCAGGGCCGGCTCAGTCACAACTAACAATGACTACAGGGCTTGGATCATGAGTCTGGAAGCATCTTGATGCTGCCCCTCCCAACATGCCAATTAGCAAGAGTTTCCATGGTATAAATCTTGCTGGGCTGTGGGGGGCAGGGAAGGACACAAGGTTCTGTGAACAGTACTGACCATAACTGCACCGGGATCGGCCATTCTGATGGGGCGTTCCCTGCTTGAAGCCAAGTTTCTCTGATGAAGAAAAACTAGAACCTTCTCTCACCTGCTTCCTGTGGGGCTGTGTGCCTATTCTCATCCACTCTTGGGGTTCCTATAATGTGTGTCTGTGTCACCGACACTGAGTCCTTTAATGTTATGAGTAAAGGAGCTGGAGGCTGCCACCTAGGATAGTGAAAGGATAGTGTCGAGCTTTGAGAACCATGGTTGGGACTGGCTGTGCACTGGTGAGGGAGATGAAGGGCGCATAGACTCTCTCCTGTTGGTGCAATGGCCTGTACCAGGCGGGTACTGCCCAAGGATCACCCCCTCTGCTTGCAGTGGCCCACAAGTCTCTCTTCTCACTGAGAACTTGAGACAGGGCACCATGTGACCTGAAGCTGAACTTCCCCACTGAACTTCCCCTCAAGTGCAATGAGCCAGCATCTGACTGCACCCCAGCACCCCCTCAGAGCTGCTGACCCCAGGTGCTGGGGAGTGTGACCCGGGGAACCAGAAACAGATTCCCTGAGATGAGACTCCAGCTGTGGAGCCTGGGGAGTTAGGTCAGGAGAGAAGACAAAGTAGGGCCTAGCCAAGACTCATGACACCCAGGGCATGAGAAAGGAACGGTCAGCATCCGTGAGAGGACACTAGGAGCAGTGTCGCTGCATGAGAACAATGGCTCCAGGGTGGACGCATCACTGTCACTGTCATCTCCCCTCCACCTCAGTCACTGTCGTCACCACTGTCATCATCACGGTCAGCATCATCACTCTTCACCACCATCACCACTAGCATCACCATGGTCACCTTCTTGTCATGGTTATCACCACTGTCATCACCGTCACTCCTCCCCTGGACTAGGGAACATTGGGAGATGCCAACGCTGACTGGAGATGTGGAAGGGGCTGGCTTGGTGTGGTTGCCCAGAACTGATTGTCCTGCAGTCTGGCCTGGAGCCGCAGCTGCCCAGTGAAGACACCCCTCTGGCCAGGATGTCCTGCCATGCTGTGCACTTCACATGTCCAGGCTTCCAGATGACACCCCAGCACCCCTGGTTGTCCCCCTTCTCCTGAACACAATGCCCCCACCCGATGGCAGTGTTCTGTTCTTCCTTTCAGACTGACCGCCACGACGTGCTCAGCTCCCTGCTGTCCGGGGCCCTAGCTGGTGCGCTTGCCAAGACGGCAGTAGCCCCCCTGGACCGAACCAAAATCATCTTCCAGGGTACGAGCCATCTGCCCGTCCATCCATTTGTCTGTCTGGTGTAATGGAAAAGCCACTTAGCTCCCCTTTTCTCCCCAGCCACCTATCTCCTCTCAGGGGCCTCTAAGAGGAGGCCTTCCCTTCCACATTGCACCCCTCAAGTGCACCCAGGCCATGCTCTCCAGGAGGCCAGTATCTGGGACAGTCTGCCCTGCAGTGGTTGAGAGAGAACCAGCCTCTTCTCCTAGAGCTGGTCTCTGAGCCTCTCGGTGCCTCAGTTTCCTCCTCTGTACATGGGAGTATTAATATCCATATGAGGACCAGTGCGCAAACATGGACATGACATTCACACATGCATGCGCACACAGTGTAGCCCACACATGCCTGCACATATGTGCATGCACACATACATGCATGTTCTCTCGCTTGCACGCACAGATGTGCAGAGCCTCGAGTCAGAGAGAGCATGTTGTCCTAGAGATCTAGTGGATCCCTTACTTGTGAAGCCTGCTTCCCAGGACTTTCCCATGAGCACTTCCACAAGCCCTGTATGGGCCCGCTTTGTCAGGAGCTGCACTCCTGCTGAGACCCTCACTGCCCCGGGTGGAGGGTGGGGGGGGTGCGGGGTGGGGAGTTGGGGACAAGTCTGGGTATGTGGGTGGATGCTGACAGGTGAAGGAGGGGGAGCTACTGCAGGGACGCCCCCACTGCAATCAGTGCCCGTGGCCCCCAAGGCAGACTCACTGGGCTCTTACCCCTGGACTAAGAACCGCACAGACACTCAGGGACACACAGGCTGAGGGGGAGCCATGCACCGGGGGTGTCAGGCTGATGGAGGATCAGGCATGCTTGTCCCTTGCATTCTGACGGGCACTGTGTGTTTTCCTTCCAGTGTCTTCAAAGAGATTCTCTGCCAAGGTGAGGCACTCGATCACTGCCCACCCCTCACACCTGCTGTCCTGCTGGACGGGGTTGGGGTTGCTTCTCCCTTTGTCCCTCCAACCCACCTTCACCAGGCCCCAGGCTCCTTGCGGGCTTGGCTTTCTGAACCCTATTATCTTGGTGATTTTTAAACAGTATCCAGTATTAAGAAGGGAAACAATAAAGACTGTTTTGAACGTTGGACAGATACTATCCCTGTGGAGCTCTGGCCCCCCCCCCCAAACTTGGCCCCCTGTTCACATCAGAATTCCCATAGGTGGGGTCAGATCAAGGGGCTCATTGGTAGACAGTACTAACCCCAGGCACGTGGGCAAAGCGCAGGCTTGGCTTCAAGGCTGGACAGTAACTTCTGACCCCACCCCCAGGAGGCCTTCCGGTTGCTCTACTTCACCTACCTCAATGAGGGCTTCTTCAGCCTGTGGCGCGGGAACTCGGCCACCATGGTGCGCGTGGTGCCCTATGCTGCCATCCAGTTCACCGCCCATGAAGAGTACAAGCGGGTGCTGGGGCGCTACTATGGCTTCTGTGGAGAGTGAGGCCCCCCAACCCCTCCTTGGCTCCCTTCCCAACCCCCCTCCCTGTCCTCTTCCATATTCCCCCTCCCCAGCCCCTCCCTAACCCTGAAGGGCCCTGAGCCAGAGCCAGGGGAGGACCAGGTATCACCCTCACCGAGATGTGTCAGCACCCCAGGCCTGCCTCTCTTTCTCTGTCTGTCTCTCTCTTTCTGTCTCTGTTTTCTGTCCCTATCTCTCTGTTTCTCTCCCTCTCTGGCTTTCTGTCGCTGTCTATCTCTGTATCTCTCTGGAGGTCTCACCCTCACTGCCCCCTGTCACAGGGCCCTGCCCCCCTGGCCCCGTTTCCTCGCGGGTGCACTGGCTGGAACGACGGCCGCCTCACTGACCTACCCGCTGGATCTGGTCCGCGCGCGGATGGCCGTGACCCCAAAGGAGATGTGAGTCCTGAGGGTCTGTGTCCCCTAAAGATGGGAGCCCCTCCACAGGTCCTGGGGTGGCTCTGGGCCTCTGTGTCAGTCGCAGAGGCAGCTCAATGAAGACCCTCACCCTGGCCCTTGCCATGCCTGGACCGTGGCTCTGAAGCCCTTACTTACAGCCTGGGATTGCTCTCACTGCTGCTCAGCATCTGCAGGCTTCCTCTGGAGTTGGACCCAGAAGTGTTAAGTGCACATGAATGAGAATAAGAGTCCAACCCACAGGGCCTCCCCATTGCTGAGCACGGGCTTCCTGTGGCTCTTAGACCAGGTGGGCGTGTCCAAACTGCAGCTATAGGCCCTGTGCCTGGAGGAAAGGGTGGTAGAGACAGGGACCCCACCCCAGTGGACACTGCAGACTCAGGCCAGCAGGTGGTCATGAACTGTGGCCCCCCTGCCCTGGTGGACCCCACACCCACAGCCCACTCGCCCTGTCTTGCAGGTACAGCAACATCTTTCACGTCTTCATCCGAATCTCCCGAGAGGAAGGGCTGAAGACCCTCTATCACGGTTTCACCCCAACCCTGCTGGGTGTCATTCCGTATGCAGGGCTGAGTTTCTTCACCTATGAGACTCTCAAGAGCCTGCACAGAGGTGAGGGGTGAGGGGTGGGTCCTGGGCTGTGGGTCCTGGGCCTGGCACCCATGGAATCCTGGATCTACTAAGGGAACCTGGGCGTTGAAGGCCTTTAAAAGCCACCCCCACTCTGGCATCCAGTGTGTTGTCCTGAGTGCTGACTGTACCCTTACAAGCACACACATGCTCACTTGCAGCACTGGCATGAAGCCAACATAACAGGGAAATGCCCTTAGTTTTGCCACTCTTGAGAAAACCTAGAACAGAGAATAAATACTGCGCAAACTCATACCTGCCACCCAGCTTGGACAATTATTACCATGTTGATTCATTTGCCTCAAGATGCTTTTGTGAAAGAAATAAAACATTACCGGTAAAGGCCGGCTGGCCCCTCCCTGCCTCCTCCCCAGGCATCATCATTAGAAATGTGGAGTGTATCCCTTGAGCTGGTTTTAAAAACACATCTGTGTGTACACGTGTGCCACAAACAGTACATTGTAATGTTTGATAGTAACAGGAAGTGATGCACGGAGGGCCACGTCAGCAGGTACAGCTGACAGAGCTTTCCTCTTGGGTTGGCATCTGAGCACCCTGTAGTGGGTGTTCCCTTCTAGGGCTGGGGGTGGCATTTAGCAGGGTCTCAGTCTCCTATGGTAGTCGTAACAAAGTACCACAGGGTGATAATAAAGAACAGTTTTATTCTCCTAGTCTGGAGGTAAGGGTGTCGGCAGGAGCAAGCTCTGCTGTCTGCTGACCCTAGGGGAAGACCCTTCCTGGGGACTCCAGTTGTCCCTTGGACTGTTGCTGCCTCCTCACATGGCATCTCCCCCATGTGACTGTCTTTGTGTCTGTGCTCTCCTTCTATAAAGTGCCACTTTATAAAAGGAGAGATTAAGATTAGGACCACCACCCCCATCCACCCCTTCTCTGACCTCATTGAATCTAATTGATGCCAAAAGAAAAATCCTAATTCCAAACCAGTCACCTTCACAGGTTCAGGGGTTAGGACTTAGACAGTATCTTTTTTATATTAATTTCTGAATGCTTGGTGAATCGATCGCCATCAGGTTAATTTGGTCACACCGTGATTGCATATGTGTTGGAGTAGAAGTCCTCCAGGATGGTTTTCAGTGGCTGATTTTCAGAAGTAGATGGCAGCCCTTTCATCCTAGATGCCTCTGGGTAGACTAGAACCTCAGATCTTCTGGTTATTTGCCATTTGCAGCCCCCAGGAACTCAGGTGCATCTATTTGGAGGGCACACTTCAGTCACAGCAGGTGGTTTCTATTTTTCTCTGTAACCATTTGGCCACTGGTCTGTTTGACTCACGGGGCAGTCATTCTGGCAACTGGGATGTACCCTTTCTCCATTCTCAGCCACACAGGTATTGTCAGTCCCCCTTGTCAGAATCATAAGGTTTTTGCTGTCTAATAAGCAAATGACATTCTCTCATAGATCTTAATTCTTTTTAAAAAAAAAAAAAAATTT